TTGCTTAGATACGCTCAGAGGAAAAAGAAATGTTACAGATTATCACAACAGGATGTGTGGGTTGGAATCAGTGTATCGAACGGGTGGGGGTGACAACTTTATCCAGTTTGAAAGGTAGTGTCTAGAGATCATGCACAGACCAACAGACCCCAGGAACCATCAGACACCAGACATACGTGCTGTGGGTACACTGGCAATTCGGTAGGTCTAACGGGAAGGAGATTCCGCTGGAATATTATTAAGACACTAGGGGATGAGTTCTGACCCGGTGATGCAGACTGTTTCCTTCTTGATCTGTTCAATCTCGTGGTTCATAACAGGGCGGTGCCGGGGCTACCAAGATAGCAGAGTCTGGCACCCCTGCCTCGGAGTCAGACGCATCCTGAGGGATGCGAAGCTTTCACAGGCACCAGCAGAATCCCAAATTCGAGCCACTAGGCGGACTTCTAACTGGGCCTTTGACGATGGTGGCCACTCCCTCACCATGACACTCCTGACCTCAGGACCCTTTTCCAAATTCTGCCTCCCCTGGTGTTTCTGCTTTTGGCTCCCATTACATCGATAACGGCTTTGCCTTGTTCACATTTTCTTCTCTTATTTATTCGACACGTATCTGTTGAGTTCCTGCTGTGGGCCAGAAATTGGTCAAGGCGGAAGTAGAAACAAACCATATTTAATCCTCATTGTCATGGACCTGACATTCTCATAGGGGAGACTGAGAATTAACAAACAAAAATACCACATTATTTGTGTAAATTAGTTTAGGGGGGTGATAACGTGACCCCCCCTCCCCCCAAAGATAACGTCCAAGTCCTAACCCGGTGCCTATGAATATGGCGATATTTGGGGAAAGAGTCTGTGCGGATACGATGAAGTGAAGGATCTCGAGAGGAGATCATCGTGCACTGGAGAGAGGCCCAAATGCAGCGACAGGTTCTTTGTAAGAAGATGCAGAGGCACAGACAGCAGGCCATATAGAGATGGGGCAGAGGGCCACCCCAGGCCGGGGGACACCAAAGCCTGCGGGAGGCCACCCGAAGACACACACGTGGGACACGTTCTCCCTCAGAGCCCCCCAAGGGGACCCATTCTGCCAACACCTTGGCTTTGGATTTACGGGCTCCAGACTGTGAAAGAATAATCCTCGGTTGCTCCAAGCTGCCAGTTTGTGCTAGTCTGTGACTGCGACCTCAGACAACTAGCACAGTCGTGACCCTGAGAAGTAGGACCGAGCAAGCAAGGGAGGGCGAGAGGGATCGTGAGGGTGTAATAATTATGAACAAATGCATGAGCGGGACCTGACCTGTGGTCCAGAGCCTGAGAGGGGCAGGGGAGGGAGCCGAGCAACGACGTGGGGAAGACATGGCAAATGCAAGGAGCAGGGACCCAAACACAGCCACGGGACAGGAACGGCAGGGAGATGGGGACAGGGGCCAGCAACGGGCCCAGAGCCGCTTCAGACAGAGGGTGACCCACAGATAGTTCGACAATGAGAGGTGTGTTGCTGGAGGGTCCCGGCCCAGGGGGGCATGTCATTCTTTAGGTGCTATGTTGAGGGTCCTCGAGTTTGAACAGGATAAACAAGACAGTATGGAAAATAGCTAAAAGGCTATTAGAACAGTTTAATAAGGATAATGGAGCCTGGGGCCACAGTAACGTGTGCATTTAAGTGAATAGACTGTGAAATCCTTGTCACTTATATTTTTGCATAATGAGAACTATAAAGCAACAACAAAGCCTTTGCTCTAATCGATGGCCTATCTTGTTCTGATTTTTCAAGCTCCGGAGTGCACGTTGTGTCTTAGATTGACATTGGGAGCTGTCCTGATGAAATCACGTGCATGTCCCTCCAGCTTACGTCCACGGAAGGTGCACAAAATGTTGGGAGTTAAAAGCAAGAGCTTCCCTAGTCTAAGTGACTTTAGTAAGGTAGACACCAAACAACCACTTACACTTTGAGCTATAGAAATCATCGATGGATGTTTTGACCTTAAGTCTATTCAAATAAGATCATTCATTCATTCATTCATTCATTCATTCATTCATTCATTCACCGAGCTCCTACTATGTGTCAGCTGCCCAAATGCATCTGTGGCTTTATGATAAGTGGGCAGATGAACACATCCTCACAAAGCAATAAGTTTCACATTTAAGAGCATCCAACAAAGAAGACATAGAGCTTCTCTGGACCAAAAAAACCCCAACGTTGCTAGAGATCATTCCTTCATTCCCAAGGGCAGGATATGGGAAACAGACGACTTGGAATGAAGAAGAGCAGCAACGAGGTGGCAGAAGTCAAGCCTGGGGCCTTCTAGAGGGGAGGCCAGAAAAGCTAGCTGAATTGTCCGGCAAAGGCCAGTTGAGGAGGGCCGGGTGGGCCCGTGAGGAGTCTGGATTGAAGTCAGAAATGAACATATCACCTGCTGCCATTAGTCTGGGTGCTGGGCACTGTGTTCAAAGAAGCTGGAACAGAACCTCTACGGATCTCTGCATTTCATGGGGCCATAACCTGAAGCTTAGAGAAGTTAAGGAGCTTGCCCAAATTCACACCTCTGCTCCGTGGCCAAGCCAGGCTTCAAACCCAGCCTCTCGCAAGTTCCTGCTACAGTCTAAACTGGCGCTTCTCAGAAAGTGGCCTCCAGGTCACGGCCAGGCCACCATGAAAGGAGCACGGTGTTGAGAGTCCCCGACAGCAGGTGTTGGAGACTTCGCAGGCTCACGTGCACAATGACCTTGACTCACCAGGTTGTGGAGAGGCTTGGAGGGCATGGAACTCCACACAGCCATCTCCAGTGGCAGAGCTGTGGACAGGTCAGCGGCCTAGGACCTCATCCTGCTCTGAGAATTAATTGTAAAGAAGCAAAAGCAAAAGCAAAACCAACTGGCCCTTTGTGAAATGAGTCTGAGAAGCACCTCCTAGGCAGAAGAAGCCCGGACACCAAGAGAGGTCATCATCTGTATCTCTTCCAAAGGGCCCCTGGGAACTGCCACACGCAGGATGGAGAGAAACAAGCCTGCAGGATCGCACCTACATCTCTGGCTCGGGAAACTGGAAGGGCGAGGATGCTTGGAAACCCAAGGAAGAATGAGAGACGAGCATGGCCGCTGTAGGGAACAGGCTGACACGCCCGCCTAAGGGAATGAGGGGCTGTTTAGTTCAGTCCACGTCCCAACAGTAGGACGAGAGCAGAAGCTCCTGAGCTCTGACTGTGAAACCAACCTAGAGCAGCCAGAATCTTGGGTTTGCGTCTCGCTCACTGTGTTTCCTTGTTTGTGAAATTGGGGGAGCAGTAGTTCTTATCTTACAGGGTTTTATAATTCAGTTAGCTGTGCACACAGCATGTGCACAGGACCTGGCATATAATGCATTATTATCATCATGTACTGGCTAGTGGGATATTAACCAGAAATCTGAGGAGGTGTCTGAACTACAGTGTAAATATTAATGTTGTCAAACAGGTGTAACGGGCAAGGCTGAGGATTTTCAGCAAGCTTGCAGAGTAAAGGGGAAGAGTGGCCGAAACAGAGTCTGAGGGTCATTTAAGAGGCAGATAGAGAACCAGAAGCGCATGAGGAAGACCACAGGGAGGGCAAAGACAAACAGAAGACGGTGCAGGAGTGAGGGAGGGAGGCGTCTACATAATGGGAGGCCCCATTATGTATGACATCTGTTGAAGTGTCTGTAAAATTAACACCTCAGAGGGGGAACCCAAGTGAGATCTGGGCCTTGAGAAGGAGCTAAGATTAAGGAGCATCACTGAGGGAATGGGACAGGTGATTTGCCAGTTTTAACATTGCATTGTTCATCAGCGTAGACTCAAGCACTTAAACGTACAGGGGCTTCAGGCACATGGTCTATGCAGTGGTGTGGGTAGTCGGCATGGTCCAAATGCACACGGAAGTAGATGCCCATGCATGTCACGTGCGCGGAGTCTGATAATAAAGGAACACAGTGCTGGGCATCTCACCCCCAACAGGACTCATTTCTACAGATGACAATATTCACCAGATGGAACTAGGGTCCCAAGCCATTATTGATCATTTACTCTGAATCAGGGGCCAACAGAAGATAGTCCATGGGCCAAACACTGTCTGTTTTTGTGAATAAAGCTTTATTGTCACACAGCCATGCCCATTTGTTTCTGGCTGCCTATACACCACAATGGCAGCCTTGAGTATTTGGGACAGAGACTGCCAAGCTTGCAAGTCATAAAATATTTATTGGTGGCCTATTATGGGAAGAAGCTTGTCAGTTGCCGCTCTGAATGCTCCATGCACCAAACTGCTGCAGCCTTTCTTGCATATGTTGCTACATTATTGCACACGGAATTTTAGATTTAGGAGACAAAATGATGTGAACTGCTGCAAGATGAATATGTAAGTTGATTTGCAAAGATGCTTTTGTGAGAGCGCATGCTTACCTGGGGTCATCCCTGCAGAACAGGAAAGGGCCATTCACCAGCCAGCCAATTTTAAGACTAACACCAACACGTATATGAAAAATGCTCATCATCACTCATCATCAGGGAAATGCAAATCAAAACCACAATGAGATACCACCTCACACCTATGGTACTGGACATCATTGAGAAGGAGGAGGAAGAGGAGGAGGTGGGGGGCAGGGAGAAGAGGAGGTGGGGGAGGGCCAAGTAGCAGTCTTGCCGAGGATTTGGAGAACATGGAATCCTCCTCTGCTGATGGTGGGAATATAAACTGGTGCAGCCACTATGGAAAACAGTATAGGAATTCCTCAAAAAATGAGAACTACCACACAATCCAGCAACTCTAATTCTGGGTATATATCCAAAAGAGCCTAAATCGGGAATTTCAGGAAATATCTAAGTATCTGCACTCCCATGTTCATTGTGGCCCTATTCACAATAGCCAAGTCATTACACTCTATTTTTTTTTTCTTGTCTGCATTTGTCCTGCAGGAAATTTGTCCTGTAAATGTAAGCCATGTGACGTATGTCAGCAGGATACACGTCTCCTTCCTGACTTTAATAGGGACGCATCTGGCGGGTCCCCATTATGTATGACGTCTGTTGAAGTGTCTGTGAGTAACGTGGGAATCCCCTTCTCTCTTCCTCTGATGGGAACCAACGTTGGAAATGGGCGTATGGTTGTTCTCCTTCCATCTGTTAATGATGAATTATACTAGTACATTATAGATGCTTAATTATTTAGGAATCCTCAAGCCTGAACTGGTCATACTGTATCGATTTTACATAAATTGATGGATTAAGCACATTAATATTTCTTTAGGACTTTTTAATATTGTTTCCTTGTTGGCAATATGAATGACATATAATCATCATAAACTAGATAAAAAGGTTTTCCTTAGGTTTTTGTGCCCTAGAATACTTGGCATAAAACAGAAGTTCTTGTTCCAGAAATTTGGGGGAATTCTCCTGGTAAGTATCTGGCTCAGGAAAGATCTTGATTTCTTGGTGTGTGTATATAGTGTGTGTGTATCTGTTTTGATTAAAGGCTCAGTATTTTACCGATTATAAGACCTTAACAGTTTTCTATTGTTTCTGAGTTAGTCTTAGTTCTATGTACTTTTTTATATAATAAATTGTCCATTGATTTTTTTATATTCATAGGTATAAGTTGTTCATAGTATTAATTAATTAATTAATTAATTAATTAATTTGGACTTAAACAAGGCTTGGGCTTAACCATAGAGCACTTTCCCAATCTTATGTTTCTAGATTGTTCTAGCTCTGAAGTGTTTCCAGTCGTCCTGGTGACATCGACTCTTACTTCATCGTTTACCACCTTGGTGATTTTGTTTTGTGATTTTAAGTAATTTATTTGTACTGATTCTGTGGTGAGTTTTGAAAAACTTGATTAGAATTGCTAGTTTGTTACATTTAAAGCTTTTAAACTGTATTTATTTAAGCTACAGTTTCTTAGTTCCACTTAGCAATTTCGTCCAAATTTTGACATTGATGTTCTTATTGTCCATCTGATCTAAATGTCCCAGACTTTCCCAAACATGTTTTCTTTTTTTAGTAGTTTTTTTGTGATGATTATTAGCTTCTTACTTTATTTCATTATTATCTGTATGAAGTTTGGTGAAACTTCTGTGGATATATATGCTGTTAGTTTTTCTAAATAATCATGTATTTTTCTTACATTTTCTGATGATTGGTTATTGATTAAATCAGTGGGTTTTTTTCTGCTTTTTTGAGATTAATAGAGGTATTCTGCTGTATGTCTGACAGCTTAGCCTTTTTTATGTTAGGTTTTGCTGCTTATACTTTGAACCTCTTTTCTTGGTTACAGATGGTTTCAGAATTATTATATTTTCCTGGTTATTTACCCCTTTGACCCTACTGATTCCTTATTCTCACAGTCTATATTATTAACAATTATCACTCTCACTACATTGTGTTCTTTATGACAGGACTTTAAAATCCCTTGAGATTTAGAAGTCAAACTTAACCTATTAACATTTAGTGTAAATTTTATTGTATTTGGATTTATTCCTACCTTCTTTTTTCATTTTTGTTCTATTTTGCCATACTTTCTAATGTTAGTTTTTTAAATCCTTTCCTGACTTTGGTAGATCAAATTTTCATTATTCATATTCTTAAACTGGTTTGGCCTTATATATTCTATGGGTGGTTACTCTAATATTTTAGTATATATACACGAGTTAGTATTTAATTTAATCAGTATCTCTAGCTTCTACTCAATAATATAAGATATTTAGCATAGTATTACCAATGATTGGATGTACCTATATGATGGTATGGTAATTTGAGTGCCTGATAAAAATATCCCACCTTATTTGAAAGAAAAACATTTGTTATTGCCAAAACACTTTTAATTTACAACGTATTTTTATTTATTTTGACTAGCCAAACATTATCCAAGTTGTTAGAATTCCATTTTTATTTCTTCTGACATCTTTCTTTGGTTTCCAGTTCTCTTATTGAGGGACATCCCTTCACAGTGCTTTCAAAGAAAATTTCTCAGTCTCTAATTTTATGGAAATTATGTATATCTCCACTAGTGTTGAATTACGGGTCGGCTAGTATAATGTTCTGAGTGAATTCTTATTCTTCAGCACTCTGAAGATGCTTGCCCATGGTCTCCTGGCCTTCTAAGCATTTTCTACTTGCTTTCCTTGGACAATGCTGCTCCCTCTTTCCCGTTCTGCAGGTGCACCAGGATCGGGAAGAGTGCATCCCTTTACTTTCCTTCTGTGCATCTTACTCCAGGGCACATGTCAGGTGCTTCTTCCCTCTCGTTGATTCACTCAGCAAACATTCTCCCAACTCTCACTCTGCAGGAGGTATCTTTCTAGGCACTGGGGGTCAGGGATGAACACAGGGAAAGATATCTGCTTCTGTGGAAATTCCTCTGCTGGTACTGGGGAATTGCATGGTCTGCCACATCAACTGTGTGAAAAACAGAGGTTAAGGTCAGGAAAGGGTTTTATTTGTTCATCGCTTCATCACCTAATTTGCTCATGCTCCACTTAATGTAGCCTTGGAAGGTAAATCCTCACAGCAGAGAGGACATTTAGGTGTGAACCTAAGGGACAGGGAGTGGGTACCAGGGACATGGGCAAGCATTCCTGCACAGGACACCCTCAGGACTCTGGGCAGGGCAGGCAGTTGGTTGGGATATGCAGCGAGGGCGACCTGGGGCAGAAGCCGGAGCATGCTGTGCCGTCTGTGGGCTCCTGGGAAGCAGGGGCAGACTTCTCCAAAAATGTGACATTACAACTATGACGTCATATGTATAACACCCATTCAAAGACTAGTAGCCACTAGTAACTTTCTATCCCATCTTAATTCTGTCTTTGAGTCTGTAGACATTTAAAAAACATTGTACGGACACCTGGTGGTTCATTCAGTTGAGCATCCAACTCTTGATTTCAGCTCAGGTCATGATCTCAGGGTCATGGGATCGAGCCCAGCATTGTGCTCTGTGCTGGGTGTGGGGTCCACTTGAGGTTCTCTCTTCCTCTCCCTCTGCCCCTCCCGCCTGTTCTCTCTGTCTCTGTCTCCCTCTCTGTCTCAAAAAAAAAATCTATCTACCCTTAGCAACTTTCAAACATGCAACACAGCATCTTTAACTAGAGTCTCCTTGCTGGACACCACATCTCTAGGACTTACTTATCTTATAACTGGAAGTTTACACCTTTTGGGTGAAATACTCTTTTAACTGAATTAGTCCTACCCTGCAGGAAGCCATGAAAGTGTTTCTAGCCATGGACGAGAAGACATTCCCAACTTGGGCTGCCCCTGCCCCGCTGGGCTCCAGGAGTTCCCCCCTGAATCCTGACCTTAAACACTACTTCTTGAAGAGGAGTCGTCTGGGCCCAGAGAGGCCAGCAGGGAGGTGGCAGGATGGTGGTGTGTGTGAGTGGTGGACACTGGGGGTACAAGAGGGAGAGGATAAAGCTGACTCAGATTCCCTCTCCATCTAAGGGATGCTGCTGTTTGGTTCAGGCTCTGGAGCACAGAGAGAGCAGGTGCCCATCTGGGGGCTTTGCTTTCGTGGCTGCCCTGAGCTGCAAGGGGTACAGCCCAGCAGTTTGTCCTTCTGCCACAAAGCCAAAACCATTCAGTATCTGGCTCTCGACAGAAAACGGTTTCTGATTCCTGATCCAGAAGATACCGTGCTCTGTGATTTGTCCACGCAACACGTTAGGCATTGCTTTCCATTTACCCACTGTGATCTTTGGAGTTTTAATTTATATCATTTGTATTTGGTTATTTTCTGAATATGCTATGTCCATTTTAACAGTTTTACCTTATGAAATTTTAGATCTTGTTTTCTCTCTCCTTGAACATAATAAACAGGTACTGTAAAGTTAAATCTGGTTGTCTAGTATCTGTGAATTTTGTTGACCTGTATTTATGACCCATTGTTTCTCATGATTGCCGGTCAGACTCTCTTGTCTCATTATGGGTTGGGTGATTTTTAAAAACGGTTTATTGAGCATCCATAGTTGGCAAGCACTGTTGGTGGGAATGCAAACTGGTGCAGCCACTGTGGATAAACAGTGTTGAGGGTCCTCAAAAGATTAAAAACAGAAATACCACATGATCCAGGATTGCCACTTGAGGGTATTTATCCAAAGAAAATGAAAACAGTAATTTGAAAAGATACATGGGATGGGTAATTTTGTTATTTTGTTTTGAAATTTCATTTGAAAAATGATTTTTTGACGTGAGGCCTAAACACATGTAGTATTCTACCAGAAGTATGTGCTCTTTTCAGGTGCCTGGAGCATGTCCAAGGTCATCTGAAGGCAGTGACAGAACTTGAGATTATTAGAAGTGTTTAAGGCTGATGCCGTCCCCCTGAGAGCCTCTCCTTCATGTCCACATCTCCACACGTGGACTGTTGAACACAGAGCCTGGGGGTCATTACTGTGTTCCCTCCTGCACACTGTGGGGGTCCTCAGCTGTGAAAAGCACTGCTCCCCAAGCACCACTTTGGAGATCAGCAAACTCAGCACCATAAGGGTCTCCTATTTCTCTTTTCTGCTAGACCTTAGCCTTATAATTATTTTCTAGGCCACTCCAGTGTAACTGCGAGGTTTTCCCTATTTAATTGGTTTTTTCATTTGCCTAAGACAGATGCTTTAATGTCACCAGTTTACTGTTGCTTGCAGCTCAGGTCCTGTGGCAGAATTTCTGACTCTCCGTTCCTGTCTGGTCCCCTCTCTTCCCTGGAAAATGCAGGCGACTTATTCCTCCCATTGAGTGACACCAGCCCAGCTGCACAACCCGCCTTGACCAGGGAGTGTGCAGGGAGAGCATTTGCTAGTGGATGCCCACTGTCCACCTCCTTCCCTCCCTCCCTCTCTCTGCGAGGACCTGAGTCTTTCATCCTTCCAGGGGTTCAGGTGAAGATATCCATCCTCTCTTCTTGTTTATCTCACATCAAATACCAGCAAATAACCTTAGCTTTCACGTAAAATGTGTCTGGATTCTGAGCCCACCTTAGCGTCTCCTTGGCTACACCTTTGGTCTTAGCTGCCATCATCAGAAGTAACGTCCTGAGTGTTTATGCCCTTGTCCCTGTTACAAATTCATGACACAGGAATCAGAATGAGCCACTGAGGACAAAAATCCAATCACACCATCTTACACGTCTCTTGGAGCAAAAGCCAAAGGTCTAACAATCATTTACAATCCTGAGAAACAGACACCCTTCCTGCCCTGCCCACCTTCTTCTGCTCACTCGTGACTCTGGCCACGGTGACTTTCTTCCTGATCCTCAGCACACGGCTGTCCCCTGCTGCAGCTTTCCCCAGAGCCCCTCCCGCTTCTAACAGGATAGGATGCGCTTCTTTATTACATTTACAAAGTTGTTTTTCACTTTTTTCCTACTCTGCACTCACAGTGTCCTCAATCAAGAGAATTAAAGGCTGCATGTGTTCTGGCTGAGTGTCTGTAACACCACCAGGCACACAGTAGGTCCTTGAGAAGCGCCGGTGGAATGGCCAGTCTTAGGCTCGTGCACGTTGACCCCAGAGGACAACCTCACGTAGGACCTCCTAGGGTTTTAGCCGTTGCGTGTCAGAAATTCCCTATTACACAGCTGAATGCAGAGGAACGCCCAACAACCCCGGGTGCATCTTGGTGTTTATTTAACTTCTTAAAACTAGCTATCACCATGGTGTCTAAGAAAAAGCTCTCTTGATTAATTATTAATCAAACAAATGAGTCACTAAAAAGGTTGGTGAGTGAATCACCCAGACACAAGAACTTACACTTATGCTAGTTATGGAAAGAAAAGATCTGACTAGAGAGAAAAATCCAGGATTTGAGGCCCAAAGTTCCACAAGGCAACATTTTTTTGAATCTGCAAAGTACATAGTCACTAATTTTCTGGAAGTTTAGTTATAACGTGGAGGACCACAGACATGAGCAGGAAAATGAAGTGATTCTACTGCGAGTCTGTCTCCCACTGTCCCCGTGACCCCAGGCTCTCCCTGACGGACCAGAAGCCTGGGGTACTGAGTTGTCTTTGAACAGTGGCGCCCTTGAACTCCTGCCACACAGGAGTCTAGTCTTCTCTGAGCCCACAAGCCACCACTGTCCTCCTGGGGACCCGGACAGTCACCGGCATTGATATTCTGTTTCCTTCACAGTGAAATCTAGTTCTGCAATACATAAATCTTAGAATATCAAACAACATGTGAAGACGTAATTACAAATGTCAAGACCACCTGAAATTCATGCCCTTGAGATAATTCCTATGAACACGCTGGTGATCACTTATTCACATGCTGCTTTAGAAGTTTACGTAACTGTCTTCATATTATGTCTCGCTGTTTTGTTTTTCTTTTCAATCTTGGACATAGTTTACTTTTTTTCTGTCACTGACCCTCTCTCTCTTCTCATCTCCTCCATCGATATATCCAAATACCCAGGAAAACAATGTGAACAGCAAAATGGGTATCTTTCCATAATATTCTTCATCAGATGAGCTCATACTACATACAACTTTTTCATTTTCCTTTGTGTACTTAAAAATACAGAATATCACAAACCTCAGAACTCAGTAATACGACCAAACAATGCAATTAAAAATGGGCAAAAGATTACATCAAATACTCACCAAAGAAGATATTCAGATGGTAAGTGAGCACATGAAAAAGATGCTCAACATCATGAGTCACTAAAGAAATATAAATAAAAATCACAATTATATACCCATGGTAACAGTGAGTCCAGCTAGTGTTGGTAATAATGTGGAAAGACAAGAAGTCTAATACACTGCTGGCGGAGGGGGGACATAAACTGGTGCAGTATGTTTGGGAAACTATCTGGCAGTTTCCTATAAAGTCAAATATACACCTGTAATATGACTGAGCCTTCCCACTTGTAGGAACTTACCAAGGACGTGAAAGCTCACACCCATACAGAGATGTGTCCCTGAGTGCTCCCAGCAGCTTTGTTTGTAAGAGCGAACACTGGAAATGAGTGCTCATCAAGGAAATGGATAAATGAAGTGAGTGGTACCATATGGTGGAATACTACTTGGCAATAAAAAGAAAGGGACTCCAGGGCAAGCTGTGTGGATGAATTTCAAAATAAGTGAAAGAAGCATGACAAAGAATAAATACTGTATGCGTCCATAGCCCATTCACAAGAAATCCCAGAAGTTCTGAACTAATTTATAGGGAGGAGAAAGTGGACTCGTGGTTGCCTGGGGTGAAGCTTTTATTAATCTATAGTACACATATCTTTCCAAACTTTATATTTTTTCTTGATTTTGCTGTAGCATAATTTGCTATACTATTTGAAATATTATATAGTAGATTCTGTGTATATTTTTAAAATAATGGTTCTTGAGTTTCTTATCTTGATTTGAAGTATTTTCATAGACACTTAGGATAAAAATATTCTGATTAAATTATCTATACAGCTTGTTAAGGTATAATTGGTGTATTATAAACTGAGTGTGATAAGCATATAATTTTATGAATTTGACTCTCCTATGGCTTCAATCATTTTACCTTTTCATTAGAATTATTTTGTCCAGCATCCAGAGATGAAAATGGATATTGCTTTTTCTGGTATCAGTAGCCAGTAAAACTTTAACAAGTCATACAATCCTCAGGAATAACTTTAACAGGAATAATGTATCTGAAAAAAGAGAAGAAAAGCCTGCACAAGGCATAGTATTTTCTCCTAAAAGAAGATTTACTAAGTCTTATTTCAAAAGTGATATAGACATTAATTTTATATGAATTAAAATAGATTCACAACTGTAATTATACTGTCATGTCTGAAAATTGAATAAAATGATTCCAAACTGGAGAAGGAAGAATAAATGCCAGATAATATCCAAAATATCAATACAAAGAGTCATGGAGGGTCTGTCCTTTCCAATTACTAAAATGTATTATAAACCTGGAGTAATCAGAAAGCATGGAGCTGGCATGCTTACAGACGTACTAAGTAGAATGGTGCAGGATTCTAGAAATAGGTATGAGTTATATATGAAAAGAGATTCTATGGCAAAGTGTTATTTTAATTTTTAAAATATTGTAGGACTCAGCGGGATAGCAAAATCTGGAAGGAAACTAAGTGGTATTGCCTACCTCACACCATATACATAACTAGCATGACAGATGTATTCTTTTTTTTTTTTTGATTTTATTTATTTATTTGAGAGAGAGAGAGAGAGAGAGAGCACATGAGGGGGGGAGGGTCAGAGGGAGAAGCAGACTCCCCACTGAGCTGGGAGCCCGATGCAGGACTCGATCCCAGGACCTGGAGATCATGACCTGAGCTGAAGGCAGATGCTTCACCGACTGAGCCACCCAGGTGCCCCCAGATGTATTCTTGATTTATCCTTTCCCTGTATTATCCATAAACCCCATGTCACCAGGGAAGTTTACACCTAAAAACAAGAACAACAAATACATAGTCTTTGATGTCAGAGAGGCCTGGGCTCAGATTCTGCATTTTACATGTTTGACTGGGACAGGTTATCTAAGGCCTCCAAACTAGTTTTCTGAATCGTACAGAGGGATGGGAATGCTCACTTCACATGGTGGTCTGGAAGATTATGTAATAACACCCAAATAATCCATGTCACATTATGGTGCATGGTCTAAAATCAACCAAAATCACTTCATGCTGCTGACTCCCCAGGACCGCTGAGTCCACGAATGCATCACCCCTCCCATCTGTCCCTTTCTCGTTCATTAGGTGTAGCGTGGAACCTGGCTTATGACAAATCCTCCTAACCCTACATACTGCGTCTCCTTGCCCTTGATGTCATGGTGGCCACCACCCCCAGGTGACCTCCCAGGGCAGACACACACTCATCTTCCCTGAGTCTCTAGATAAATCTTCATTCCTCCCTTTTTAGGTCCTTTCTGTGCCCCAAGGCCTTTGGAACCACAGATCACTGGAATACATCTCCTGCATTCCACAGAGAATATAAAAAGAAGCTGGATGACGTTCCCTTTCCCTTGAAATTGTGCTGATTCAAGAAAATGGGCTGCACGCTGCGGCTCCTGACATTGAATTCCATCGAGCAGAGGTCAGGACTATACCCACCTATTACTCCTGTCATTGCCAAAAGTATTATTCACCTCGTGTTGGGTTCCAGAAGGCATTCAAGCACATAATAAAAGGGGAGTTTGAACAAGTTGGAACTCTTCACTTCGGGCAGAGTTGGAGCATGCCATTTCTTAGCAGCTTAGTATCTTCTTGCTCAGAACAAACCTTCCCACTGATCTGAAATACCAATGCACACTCAGCTTTCTCATTATCATAATCAGAGAAAATCAGGGCAAGTTTAAACGAGGTACAAAGCACATGAGTATATCAACCTCATTTTCACCTTTGTATAATAAATTTAAATTGCTGGGAATGGTGACATTATTTATACATCATGCTATTTCTTAAGAGTGTTAAAAGCTTGTAAAACTCAGCGAGAATTTCAGTGGAAATAGTCAATACTACTTATAAGACCCTAAGTCCACAGGTCTGGACAAGTTACTGATTTTTAGAAATGCTTTGTAAAACTGTAACAGCATTTCTGATGATCATTAAGGATCCATGATGTAGAAAAGAGGGATTATCTGTAGTTAAAAGCTGGGTTCCTTAGCCTGCTTAGACATAGCAAACTGAAAATGTTTATAGAAACGAGAGCAATAAAGTGTTTGTTTGTTTTTTCAAAATACCTTCTTTATGGTCTTATAGAGAAGAGGGTTCATGCTTGTTGCTACTTGTGGGCTGAAGCTTTAAGAACTGTTGAATGATTTGGATTTAAGAATTGTTGCATGATTGTGTCCTTTCTTTCCCTGCAAATTCTTGGAGGTAGAGATAGAGCTTCCCTGGGCCTGAATCCTGCCTGTGTCCAGTGAAGAGCAGAAATCCTCATCCTGCCCACAAGGGCCAAGTAGCAAGAACAAGAAATACACCTCTTTCTTGTAGCCCACTGAGAGTACATTGGCGCATAGCATCATCTATCATATCTCTATTTACATCTATCATATTTCTATTTACAAGTGCCACAGGGCCTTAAAAGTTCTTATGCTCAGTTCCTTAATTTGTCAGGTTGAATCCTATAAAACTGCTGGAATTAGGTCAAAAGCAATCAAAGAGGAGAATACACATCTTTATGTGCCCCCAATCATAATTTATCAACCATTTTGCATTGATTTCTTCCGATTAATATTCTGATATAAATATTTCTCATGTTGCGATGAACATTTTCATAGATTTTAGTGATTTTATATCTCTTTGTAGATGTAATTAATTCACCTGGTGGTATTGTAATATTGTATTTGTCTCATTTTTCATTACTGTTTGTTTTAGGATGACCATCTTTGGAAATATAACATTGCTACTATTTTGGACTGTGTATTAGGACCTATTCTGAGAAACACAGGGGGCAAAATATATAAGTATTTAGAAAACATTTCATGTACATTGATAAATTTAGTTCTGGAAAGGGTTACTCATGAGTACTGCAGATGATCCCACCATATTTTTCTTGTATATAATGATGATTCCACCCCTACCTGGTGCCCATGAGTCAGACAAGATGTTTTGACAGGGGTGGTCCACACTCCTCTTCCCCCTTTCCTCATCATGAGCAGGGCCCAGACACCAGCTGAGTCCTGACCCCCACCCAGATTCAACAAGGCAGACAGGGTGGTGGGAGGTGGACCCAGATGGCAATCCATGTCTCATGACTCATCTCCTGTCTCCTAGTGCCAGCAGAACCCGACTGGAGGGGGCTCACACCTCTACTCAAAAGAAGTGAGATGCTGTGACTTGATGCTTTGCTTTCACCAGGCAGGTGTCAGCAGAACAGGTGGAGCCAGAGGTCCACCTTGATCTGTAGTGAGGCAGTGTGCTCAGTGCTCACATGCTGGGGTGTTGGTAGGGTCCATGGGGAAGCTGAACATACACACCTACCCAGTCCTCATGCTGCATCTCAACAGGGAGTTTCAATAGGATTCAGCATTTCAAAAATAATTTTAAAAAAAAGCCAATTTCCAGGATGTAAGTGAAAGTTACTTGTCATATGAAGAACCAGGAAAATTGTAATATATGTGAAAGGACACCAATACAAAGACGAATCAAATGTTGGAATTATCTGACAGTGACCTTAAAACAGTTCAGATGAAAGCACACTAACAAGTGATTTTGAATTCTTTTAAGACAAATGAAAAAAAAAAAGAAATAGAATTTTAACAAAAAAATAGAAATCCTAAAAAAGAACCAAATTCATTTATGGAACTGAAAAAATAAAATCAGTTTATGGAAATCAGCTTATTTCCCTCTATTTATTGAAATAAGGGAAACTCTCTGAATGAGCTCAATAATAGCTTGAGGTGACAGAATCAGTGAAGTTGTGGACAGATGAATACGTTTACTCAATATGAACTACAGAGAGAAAGTAGACTGGGGGAAGAAAGCTAACATTTATGGTTGGAGTTCCAGACAGAGAAGAGAAAAGTAAAACAAAATGTTCAAAGAAATAATGGCTGAAAACTTCCCAAATTTGGTGAAAGACTAAAACCTACAGATTAAGAAGCTGAGTCAAACTAATAGAATAAACCCAAAGAGCTATGTATGCTGAGACGTGATAATCAAACATCTGACAATGAAAGACAAACAAGAAGTCTTGAAAGCAGCCAGAGAAAAACAGGCATTGTTTCTAGGGCATTGTTTCTAGAGCCTGAATGATGGGGGATTTCCCATCTGAAAGCTTGGGGACCAGAATGATGTGGTGCAACATTTTTCATGTACCGAAAGAAATGAACTCCACCTGGCAATTCTAATCCCTGTCAACTGTCTTTCAGAAATGAGGGGGAAATAAGATATTCCTGACAAAGGAGAACGGAGACTATTTCCTGCCAGCAAACTATCCTTACAGAATGACTACAGGAAGTTCTCTGAGCAGAAAGAAAGTGAGCTCAGAAGGCTTAGAGCCCCAGAAAGGGAAGAAGGACATCAGCATGTGCAACATTGGCGGGCGGGGCGGGGGGCGGCGATATAATAGACTGTCCTACTTCTCATGAGCTTCTTCAATCATACTCAATGCTTGAAGCAAAAATTGTAATACTACAATCAGCAATGGATTGCTCCTGTGGTACATCCTTTCCCTCATCTTTTGTTTCTACACTATCTGTGTCACTAAGTGTTTTTACCCAATCTTTGTATTTTAACCAGAGTGATTATACCATTTACATTTAATGAATACTTACTTGGGTTTATGTTTATGTTCTTGTTGCTTTTCATTTGTCTTCTGGTCTTTGTTCTTTTTCTCCTCTCTTCCTGATCTTCTTAAGTTCAGCAAGTATGTTTTATCTTTCCATTTTATCTCCTCAACAGGTTTGCTAGCTATAATGCTCTCGGGTTTATAATTTGTAGCTTCTGCATATCAGAATCTATCTTCCTCAAAGAACCTGATATCAGTGTATTACCACTTCACTTGCATGTAAATTTTGCTATTTACTTGTTATACATTTTGTACTGACAGTTGGCATAATTCTGCCTCAAATATATTCATTTATTGTTGTTATTTGTATTTGAAACATTCTATTACCTATTTTCAGATTCACATTGTTATTGTTTTTCCTTAAACTTTCTATTTTCAGAGAATGATAGATTCACCTGCAGCTGTAATAAGTAATACAGAGAAGATTCCCTGTGTGCATTGTCAACTTTTCCCCAATGAGAGTATCTTGTAAAATTATAACAAAAGTAATAAAACCAGGATCTTGACATGCATGCAGAACATTCAAGATACAGAACATTCCATCCCCCACAAGGGACCCTCATGTTGTCTTTTGTAGCTCATGTCTACCTCCCTTCTCTGATGCCCACATGGATTCCTGGCAACCTTACTCCATTTCTGTATTTTTATTTCAATAACATGATGTAAATGGAGTCACACAGTGTGTGACACCTGGGACACTCTTTTTCACTCAGTTCACTCCCTACACATTCTTCTGTGTTGTTGCATGTATCAAAACATCAGTCCTGCTTATTAGGGTGTAGTATTTCCCAGTGTGGATGTACCATGGTTTGTTAAAACACCTGCTTGTTCAAGGACATCTCAGTTGTCTCCAGTGTGGGCTTTACCAATAAATCTGCAATGAGTATTCCTGTAGAGGCTTTTGTGTAAACATAAGTTCTCATTCCTCTGTGCTAAATGCCAAGAATGCTGGTTTACTGTAGTCATATGGTAGCTGCATGTAGAGTTCTTTTTCTCTAAGACACTTCTACATTGTTTTCCTGAGTTACTGTACTATTTTATATTCTTACCAGCATTTGGTGTTGTCACTATTCTTTTAGCTAGTCTGGTAAGTATGCAATGGTATCTTATTGTGGCTTTAATTTACATTTCTCTAATGGTTAATGATGCTAAACATCTTTTAATGAACTTATTTGCCATCTGTGTTTCTTCGATGACATGTCTCTTCATATTTTTCTGCCCATTTTTCTATTTGGATTATTTGTTTTTCTTTACTATTGAGTTCTGAGTGTTCTTTATATATTCTAGATACAAGTCTCTTGTCAGATATATGCTCTGCAATATATTTTCTCGCTCTGTAATTTGTTTTTTCATCCTCCAAAGAGGATCATTCATGGAACAAAAGATTTCTCTTTTGATGGGGGTTCAACTTAATGAATCTTCCTTTCAATAGATCAATATATATCAATATATATATTTCAATATATTCAATATATTAATTATGTTTTTTGTGTCAATTCTTCACACAGTCCTGGATCCTGGACATTTTCTTCTACATTTTCCCCCCAAATTTATAGTTTGACATTTTACATTTAGGATCAATTAGTAATTAATTTTGGCATAAGTTATGAGGTTAACGTATATATATTTCACCTATAAATGTCCAGTTGCTCTAGAGTCATTTTTCTGCACCTTCATTGATTGTTTTTACATCATGGTCAAAAGTCAACTGTGCACATTTGTATCAGTCTAGCTCTGAGCCCTCCATTCTGTTCTGTTGGTCTATGCATCTATCCCTTCACCACGAGCACAGTCCAATCACCATAACCTACGTAATCAGTGTAACTATGTAGTAAGTCTTGAAATCTGGTACAGTGATTCCTTTAATTATTTTTTAAGATTTATTTATTTATTTGAGAGAGAGAGAGAGAGAGAGAGAGAGAGACCAGCACGGGGAGGGGTAGATGGAGAGAGAGTCTCAAGCAGACTCTGTGCTGAGTGTGGAGCGGGACTCGATCTCACGACCCTGAGATCATGACCTGAGCCAAAACCAAGAGTCATTGATCTCACGACCCTGAGATCATGACCTGAGCCAAAACCAAGAGTCAGATACTCAACCGACTGCACCACCCAGATGACCCAATTCCTTTCATTTTATTTTTCTTTGTCCAGATCATTTTGGCTATTCTAGTTTGTTTGCCTTTGCATGTAAATTTCAAAATAAACTTGTTTACAGAAACAATCTTGAGGATTTTGTTAGGACTTGTGGTAAACCTGTATACCAACTTAGGGATATTTCACACCCTCCCTATTTCAAGTCTTCCAATTTGTGAACACAGTTGTATCTATTAAAACCTTCTTTGATTTTTTTCACCAAATTTTGTAATTTTTAGCATATAGTTACCGTAGAACTTTACATTTTTAGCATATAGTTACCTAGTAGAACTTTACATTTTCTTTTGAGATATTGTCAATGACACTGTGTTATAAACTTCAGTTTGCACATATTCATTGTAAATATATAGCAATGCAATTGATTTTTGTGTGTCATCTTATGATTGCAAACTTGATGAACACACTTAGTACATATAAGAGGTTTTATGTTTTGGCTTTTGTTTCTGACTCCTTAGAATTTTCTACAGATAATCATGTCATATATAGGTAAGGAGACTTTTATTAGTATTTTTCCAATGTGTAAGCCTTTCATTTCTCTTTCTTTCCTCATTGCAGGGGTTAGGATTTCTAGTGCTGTGTTGAATAAGAGTGATAAGAGTAGACATCCTTCATTTTCAATTTTAAGGGAAAAGAAACAGACCATTAATATTATGTTAGCTGTAGATACATCCACTTTGAATGGGCTCTTTATCATTTTAAGGATGTTCCCCTCTATTCCTTACTTTTATGAGAGTTTTTATCATGAATGAGTGTGGTATTTTGTCAGTCATTTTCTGCATCAATTGATTTGATTTTTCTTATTTAGAATGTTGAACCAGCCTTGAATATCTGTAACAAATCCCACTTGGTTGTGGTGAGTCCCGAGGTATAACTGTTTTTATAAATTGCTACAATTGACTTGCTAATTTTTGAGGATTTTTGCATCTAACTTTATGGTAGATATTGGTTATACTTCTTCTTTGTTTTCCTACTCTCTTTGGTTTTGGGATCAGGTTATACTGACCTCATGAAATGGGTTTTCTGCTCTTCCATATTCTGCAGAGATTGTGTAAACTTGATGCTAATCCTTCTTCAAATCTTTTATAGAATTTTATTTATTTATTTATATATTTTTAAGATTTTTATTTTTTTAAGATTTATTTATTTATTTGAGAGGGAGAGAGAGTGCGAGCAAGCAGACGTGGGGAGGGACAGAGGGAGAGGGAGAAAGAGAATCTCAAGCAGACTCCTCGCTCAGTGCAAAGCCTGATGCTGGACTTGATCTCACGACCCTAAGATCATGACCTGAGCCAAAATCAAGGGTGGGATGCTCAACTGACTGAACCACCCAGATGCCCCAGATTATGATTTTTTTAAATAAAAATTTTACTTAATTCTATATATTTTCTTAATTTCCTTTGAAACATCTTGTTTGATTCATGCATTATTTAGAAGTCTCTTAATTTTTAATTGTTTGCAGTTTTTCTTGTTGTCTTTCTGTTATTGATACTCAGTTTGATTTCATTAGGGTCAGAAAATATACTCTTCATGATCTTGGTTCTGCTAAATTTTACGGAGATTTTTTTATGGGCCATGAAATGGACTATCTTGGTAGATGTCCCATCAGTGCTTGGACAAATATAGACTTTTCTGTCAATGTGTGGAGTGTTCTATAAATATCAGTTTCATTTTGTTGATCGACTGCATTGGTCAGATATCTGATATCCTTGTTATTTTGTCTTGTCCAATAGCCTTGTCCAGCCTCAACACCTGCTGGCCTTCAGTGTTCCTGGCCGCACCCCACCAGCTATTCCAACAAGTCCACCATGCTCTCCTGCTAGGCCACCAGCCCTCCCTTCATTACAAACTCTGCAACCCCCAGACCCTGGTGTTTTTTTCTCTTCCCAGTGTGACCCCTTTGAGGCTTTGTGTGGTCTACAGTGTCCTCCTCCCCAGATGTGAGTAAATGTGGCTAATAAATGGGGCTCATCTCATCCATCTGGCCTCGGGCGTCACGAGTTCAGATATCTCATACTATTTAGGGTCAGATATCCGTCCTTCACCACCAGGTGAATAGGAAGTGAATGCAACGGTTACACATGACTTGAACACACTATCAGTGAACTTGACCTGATTGGCATTTATAGAACATTTCACTCGACGACAGCTGGAGACGCATTCCTTTCAAGTCCCGTGGAGCATTTCCCAAAACAGGCAGTGTTCGGGTCTTCACAACAAATCACAATAAATTTAAAAGAATTTAAATCATACAGAGGATATTTGTTGATCACAGAAGAATTAGAAATAATTTATTAATTAGAATTAAGTCCCAGAGATCTGGAAAATCCTCACATAATTAGAAATTAAATAAACAATGTTGGTCCAAGAAGGAACTCACAATTAAAATTAACACATGTTCTTTAAGTGAGTAAAAATGAGAAAAGGTTGTGGAATACACATCAACCAGTTCTAAGGGAAATGTGTAGCTCTAACAGTCATGTTACAAGAGAAAGAAAATCTGCAGTTAATGGTCTGCTTCTACTATGATGGTCCTTATTATGCCATCTCTGATGAGTGTTGTGGCTTAAAACTCAGAAGTCAGCATCAGCGTACAAGCAAAGTCAGAATGATTTTTGTCATTCTGCATTCTGCTGTGAAATTAGAAGCATAAAAATCTTGAAGACAGAGTGCCACAGGCCCAGAGATTCAAGGAACTACAAATACCATCAGATTTTAGTTGATATCTTAAGGGAAGAGAGCATGATTTATATTGCATGTTCTCCAGCTCCACTCACACAACAGCAAGTAGGTTGTCTACTGAGAGCGGGTGTGCATCCCAAGACTTATGAGCCAGGCGCGGGACGTGTCTCTCTTAATGTCTTTTTACTTACGTGAGTGGCAGTATATTCTCCTTTACCCAGACATACAGAAATTAATTTTTAATGTAACTTCCAGCTCAACAAATCTTGGACCACGGTAGAGACAGAGATAAACACTTATTTATGGGCTCTTCATTAAGTTCTCATGGGAAGCCTGTAAGTCAAAAGCAAGATCATAAAAATGAGCTCATCACTCTTAGGAAGCAGATAAACTTGCTCAGATAAGATAATGAATGTCCCGAGTCCTCACTGTAAACTCTAAGTGAACTGTGCCTGAACTTGGGGAGGTTTGGGCTCTCGTCCGCGGGCTTCATGGTCCTGGTGGGAGCCAGGTGTCAGCTCACCATCCCAGACGTTGTCCTGCGTCTCTGAGCCAACCATGAACACAGAAGTACAGAGCCCTCCTGTGCAGCTGGTTTTTATTAGTTTTATGAGCTTCACCTGACCCAGCATGGGGTGGGTTTGGAAACTCTACATGCAAAAATCTCTTTGTGTTTATAGACGAAGCGGTAAATCTTGGTGATGCCTGCTATCTGTGACTTAAGTTTCCTGCAGGTGACTGACACGTCCAAGCACGGCACCCAGGCTCTGGGTGGCGTGGCCTCCACCTGCCCTTCGGCCGTGTCTTGGGCAATACTGCCACCCCAGGATCTGCCTCGGTCCTGGTGCAGGGCACTGCCCTGTCTCCTGATGCGCCTGGGTGACTGTCACACGTGAGCTGGTGAGCCCATCTTTTGTCTGTGCTGAAAACTTCTTCCCTGTGTTTTTGCACACTTGTGCTCCATGGTAGAGCTCTCTCGATGGGACGACGGGGCACGTGTGTCTGATCCACCAAGCTGGGATCATTTTCCATTGTCCCTGCTGGCCAGGAAAGTGCGGATGTACTTGGCTTGTACAGGACGGATCTGGGAGTGGAGGCTGCAGGTCAGCCTAAGGAAGCATTGAGTTTCTGCTGGGGATGGAAGCAAAGAAGAGGCAGAAGGGAGCTCATGCGGCAGCTCGGACCCAGAAATGACAGGCATGGTTGCTTGTGACGAGTGAGCAGAGATGTTGTATGACCCAATCCAGGTTCTTGGCTTGTGGGACGGGGCAGGCGGAAAGGCCATTCGCTGGAACAGGAGGGCCAACCTTCCTTGAGTCAGTGTGGTGTGTTGTGAACACAGAAGGGGGATGGCCAAGCTCTGGCCCTGTTTCTGGAGTTTCCCTCTGGTGCCCAGGGGGAGGGATAAGTGAGAGGCTGGACACAGGGGCTGGACACCATGACGGCAGTCTGAACTTGAGAAGGGACCCTGAGCTGTCGGTTCAGAGGACGGAGCTGCAGCCGTGGTGTCCCCTCCAACACAAAGGCTGGAGACCCCCAGACTTGACTTGTAGTTGAGCTTCTATGAGTCTCCTATAAACTCCACACTGTCCTCAGCATCCTTTCCTGGATATCTTTTGGAGAGGGCCACTAAGAATGGTAGTAACTAATACCTGGGTAGGACTCAGTGTTCTAAACATGTGTTTTAGCTCATTTAATCCACATGAAACCCTATGAGTTAGGTGTTTTTTCTTATGTCCATTAAAAAAAAAAAAAGGGAGGGGCGCCTGGGTGCCTCAGTCGGTTGAGCGACCGACTCTTGGTTTTGGCTCAGGTCGTGATCTCAGGGTCGTGAGAGTGAGCCCCACGTCAGGCCCAACACTCAGCGCCGAGTCTGCTTGAGATTCTCCCTTCCTCTCTCTCTTCCCTTCCCCTCTATGCACACTCTCTCTCTCAAATAAATAAATTTTTTAAAAATCTTCAAAAAAAAGGAAATTGAGATGCAGAGAGAATAAAGCCTAAGATCACCCCAAAAATAAATGTCAGACTGAATTCCAACCTGACACTCTTGTCCCCAAATCCAGGTGCCTCACTACCCCGTGAACTGCCTCTTCCCCCATTTCTTCATGCTTCTCGCTGCCCCGTTCACGGCACTTCGCTGATAGGGAGCTGTGGAAATGTGGAGGGGCTCCCCTGACAGCGTGACGGACAAGAGCTACACCATCTCCCAACGGCTATCCCCAAACCACGCAAGGGAGATCACGACAGCTTTGCCATGTTGGCAGGTGGCTGTGTTATGGGCAGATGCAGCAGGTGCCATCCCGAAGGTTCGTTCCCGGGTTTCCCTTCTCCGCAAGTCTGTTAAGGTTCTGGGGGCAAGATTTAAGGTGGACCACCTGCACCCGTAAATGTTCCAGTTTGGTCAGAAACAGGCCACGTGCTGACTCCATGTGCTCTTGAGGAGAAAGACGCCTTCAATGGTGTTCAAGGGGGGACCCCGTCGTGCGGGTCACTTCTGATGGACGCGGACAGGTCATGGCACGGCGTCTTGCCCCCG